TCTTTAATGTCTTTGGTCAGGTTTATTCCAAGGTATTTTATTTTTTTGTGGCTATTGTGAATGGGAGGGTTTCCCTGTGCTCTTTCTCTGACTGCTGTATCTCTAGACAGTCTTTTTCTCTCTTCATTCTACATGGTAAAAAATGTGATCATACTGGCTATCTTCTGCTTGCTAAGCTCCCATGTAGTTTAGCCTATTCCAATCTGAATACAACCTCTCTAAGTCCCTTAAAAAGTTCTCCCTAAGACACTGATGACCAACATTATAAACAAGACTTGAAGATTGAGAGATTGCTCAGCAGTTAATAAGAGCACTCACTATTCTTCCAAAGGGCCCAAGTTCCATTGCCAGGTAGCTCACAACCACCTGTAGCTACAGATCCAGGGGCTCTGACACCCTCTTCTGGCCTCTGGGGGTGTCTGCACTCATGTGCTATACAGAAAGACACATAAATAAAAATAAAAATAAAGATTAAGTGGCTAAAGAGATAGCTCAGTGGTTAAGAATATGTACTGCTCTACCAGAGGACCCAAGTTCTATTCCCAGCACCCACAACAGGCAGCATACAGCTGCCTGTAACTTCAGCTCCAGGCAATCTGATGCCTTCTTCTGGCCTCTGCAGGCACCCACACACAGGTCACATACGTTCACACAGACACATATACATAAATAAAAATAAAACTTAAAGAAAATAAAAATAAGGGGCTGGAGAGATGGCTTGGCAGTTAAGAGCACTGGCTGCTCTTGCAGAGGACCCAGGTCTGCTTCCCAGCACCCACATAGCAGCTAACAACCATCCTTAACTTCACTTCCATGGGATTTGACACTCTCTCCTCTGTTGGCATTGCATGACATAGGTACACTTACACCCTTGCAGGTAATGTACTCATACACATAAAACAAAAATAATAAATATTAAAAAATAAAATCTTAAAAATAAAAGACAGGATTTTGAATCTTCCTCTTACCCAACCCCTCAGTAGTGCTGCCGCCTCATTTTACACTGCTGACATGCTGACACTGCTGCTGCCTTCTTTTCCCCTGCTACACCCTCCTGGAACTCTGCACTCCTGGATTCCTCTTTCCTCTCTTTCTACTTCCTTTCTTTATTGGTTCAATCTCCTCTACCCTTGAGTTTTGTGACTCCTTTCTTGCTCAGGTTTTGGCCCTGTTCTCTTTTAATGATTTAATTTCATCTTAGATGATCTCTTCCCTTCTCAGTTTTCATGATCCTTCCTCGGCTGGTGAACACCAACCATCTCCACTCACAGGTCCATGTACCAGTTTCCAGCACCACAGTCAACATTTCTAAGGTGTATATCTCAAAAGTACCTTGCGGTTATTTGTATTAACACTTTGGAACCAAATCTCTGATCCCACCCTCAACCGCCCCCAACCTGGTCTTTCTCCCCAAAACCTCCCACTAACTCATCCTTGTAAACTCTCATCCTTCAATGCCCACTCCAAATTCATTTCCTCAAAGAACTTTTTCCCAGACTTCCCAATAAGAGAGTATGTTTCTGTTTCACGCTGTGTGTGTGTGTGTGTGTGTGTGTGTGTGCGTGTACATGGGTGTACACATGGAAGCTAGAGGTTGACATTGGGTGTCCTCCTCAATAGCTCTTTATCTTAATTTTTGAGACAGTGTTTCTCACTGAACCTGGAGATCACTGTTTGGCTAGACTGGCTGGCCAGTAAGTTCTCAGGAGCCTCATGTCTCCTTCTAGTGCTGGGATTACAGGTGTGTGTGCCATGTCAATTTTTTATATGGGTGCAGGGGATCCAAACACAGATCTTCCTGCTTGAGCAGGAAGCACTTTACCAATTGGGCCATCTCCCCAGCTCTGTTTCACATCTTTACTCCATCTGACTATAAGCTTGATGAGGTAAGGACAGTCCCACCTAACTCACTGTTCTGTCCTCTTGGCATCATATCTGGCAATAGCAGATACTCAGCTATTCAATGAATGGTATTACTAAACATGGAACATAAAAACATACACTTTGGTATTTTTTTATCCAACATAAAACTCTATCAAAGTTCTTTAGTTTTAAGCCCAATATAATTTATTTTTAATGAAAAAGTACTTTTATTAATTCTTTGAGAAGTTCATATATGCATACACTGTATTTTGTGTATTCACTATTAACTCCTAACTCCTCCCCCAATTCCTCTAAGATCTATCACCCACTCCCACACCCAACTTCATGTCCTCTTCCTTCAATGACCCACTGAATCAAAGTTGTGCTGCCCATATACTCATGGGAATGGGGTCATCCATGGAGCACAGTAGACCCAGGGGGCACACACTAAAATCAAACCTCCCCTAGCACCCAACCATTGTCAATAACTCCTTAGTACTAAAATGCTTTACTTAATAATGTAGAATATAGCCAGGAAGGTCATAAACATTATGTATGTAGCAGGGCATGGTGGCGCATGCCTTTAGTCCCAGCACGTGGGAGGTAGAGGCAGGCGGGTCTCTGTGAGCTTGAAGCCACCCTGGTCTACAAATAAGTTCCAGGCCAGCTGGGGCTGCATAGAGCGACCCTCTCTCAAACACACACACACACACACACACACACACACACACACACACAATTGCATATATGCAAATAAAGCAGTCTACATAATGGAAAGCTCTTTCCCAGCACAACAATTTTTCGCAATTAAAGAACCTAGAGAACCCAAAAACCTCAACAGCCTCAAAAACCAAGGTCCAGTAAAATCATGAAAATGGCAAGCATATTTTAAGAAGAATTTACAGTACTGAGCAGAACTTCAGTTTGGCAGATCCACATTCATAGAAGTTAAGCAGGAACTTTCCCAATCTGGATTGCTATGATGTTAACCAATGTACCTTTTTTGCATTTTTTCCTTGGCATCATCTCTCTTGGAAGTCTTCTCCAATCTATGTGCACAAAAGAAGATATATAAAAATTTCAGTTTCCTCTAGGAATCAATGACTCTGGTGTAATTACCTGAAGAACACAATCACAGCTGCCCATGCAAACACAATATAATTTCCTAGTATCTGACTGTATAGGTTGAACCAGAAACATAACAAAACAAATATAAATACGATGTACAGTGACATGTTTTCCCTTATGAAGAAAAAGAGCTCATTAAAACAACTTTGAAATAGTCTAATAAAATGTCTTGGAGACCAATCTTAGGATTATTCTTTGTGGATGTAAAGATCACAACTGTTTTTATTAAATATTACTTGGCTACTTTGTATTTTGTAAGTTATCTGCTGTTGATATACATATCTATGTAACAAACAATTTCCCCCCAGAGATTAAGGCATGTAATCACAATTCCAAAGCTTATGAAATGAAATAAACAAGTCTAATAGTTATCTAAAATCTTAAAAATGAAAACACAATTAGATGTGAAAAATATTCTCTCCAATAAATGATTTTTACTTACATTAACGAAACAATTCCTATTTATTTTCTTTTAATTTGTGGAGGGTGCTACGTTTCAAACTCAGGGTCTCATATATGCTAATACTGCTGAGCTACAACCCCTAGCCTCATTTAAAATTATTTATTTTCATTTTATGTGTATGAGTGTATTGCCCACATGTATGTAAGTGCACCCATGAATGCAGTGCCTGCAGAAACCAGAAGAGGATGTTGGATTTCCTGGAACTGGAGTTACAGAAGGTTGGTAGCCGCCATGTGGTGCTGGAAACTGAATCCGGGTCCTATTAAAGAAGAGCCAGTACTTTTAACTGCTGAGTCATCATCTCTTTAGGCCCCACTTTTGTTTTTTTAAATTTAATTATTTTTTATTTTACTTTTTTTTATGTGCATGTGTGTGTTTGTTCATGTATATGCCATGTGTGTGCCAGTGCCTACAGAGTCCAGGAGAGAGTGCCAGAACCCCTGGAACTGGAGTTACAGGCTGCTGTGAACTGCCTGACATGGGTGCTGAGAACCAAACTTGGGTTCTCTGGAGGAGCAGCAAGTGTTATTAACCACTGAGCCATCTCTCCAGCCCCATCATTAAAAAAAATTTTTAACAGAGACAAGTATAAAATTGAAGTTACATAAAAATAGATTTAAAGAAATTTCAATGCATTTGTACGAAACAGTTAAATCTCATAATTTTTACCTCTAGTGATAAATTTTGCTTTAAATATATTTTAGTTTTAAACTACTCCCTGAAAATCATGAGAAAGCATGTAGAGAATGATTTGGGACAGTGTCTCCTCCCTACCCGACACCTTAGCAGCGAACAAGGAAAAGCAAGCCCTGTACCTTGCGAAAGAGATAATGCGGTCAGTGACATTTACACATTTATTTCAAGGCAGTGTCTACGCAACTTTAGGTCACAGACAGAAAAGGAAAGTGAACTGAATTAGGAGCCCTGAGTTCTAGCAGTATTAGTGAGTGACCCTGACAGGGTCATTTCTATAGCAACTGTTTTCTGCTTATAAAATGAACTAGTTGACAGAGATTTCCTCTACTACCCCCTCCATCCTGTCTACATACAATGTAAAAACTTCTGAATGCTGAAAGCAACTCCTGGGGTGGGTCTACTGTAAAGGCATGTCAGTAACTAAACCTTGTCTACGTCTCCTTGAAAAAACGAAAGACTCACAAGCTTTGCTTAAAATACCCTTTGAAAGTAGGTATTTGTGGTCTCCTTAAAAAGTCTAAAATTGGGGCTGGAGATATAGCTCAGTGGTTAAGAGCAGCGGTTGTTTTTGCAGAAGACCTGGGTTCAGTTTCCAGCACCCACATGACATTAGCAATCTGTTAACTCCAGTTCCAATGGATCTGACACCCTCTTCTGGCCTCTATGGGCATTGCATACACATACTGCACTTTACATACAAGCAGGCAAAACATTTATAACATGTAACACTAATACATATAAAATAAAAATAAAGAAATAAAAAGAATTGTAAGTCTAAAGTCTGGGGTTGGGGATATAGCTCGGCTGGTAGAGTGCTTGAATAGTATGCAAGAACCCTAAATTAAATCCCCAGCACTGTGTAAAACTGAGTGTGGTGGTACAGGTCAGAGGTAGAGGCAGGAAGGTCAGGGGTTCAAGGACATTCTTAACTATATAGTGCGTTCAAGGCAGTCTGGGATACATAAGAGCTTGACATGCCCCCCTGCCCCCAAATCTAAGATCTTAAAATCTGGTCAGCTATGCTAGGCAGTACACATCTATAGTCAGAGCACTGAGGAGGGTGAAGGAGGAGGATCAAGTTCAAGGCTGGTGTGGACTATATAAGCAAAATTATGTTTCAGCAAACAGAAAAGAAACTTCTAAGAATCACTCAGGAGTGAAGAAGTAAGTACTTTTTGGCATTAAAAATTAAAATTGTGATTGTGGCTAATGAAAACCTATTTGGCAAATCTGAATTTTATTATTTATGTGTTTATTTTTTACTTTTATTTAAGGTTTTTTGAAACAGGGTCTCTCTATAGTCCCAGATGACAAGGAACTTGCTACATAGATCAGGCTGGTCTTGATCTCACAGAGGTTCACCTGCTTCTGCCTCCCAAGTGATGGGAGTGTGACACCATGCCCAATTCTATTTTTTTTTAAAGTATGGTGCATCACCATGTCCAATTCTACTTTTTAATGTATTTTAAGAAGGTCCACATACACACATACACAAAAAACACTTCGGCCCATTTTTTACAGTATAAAATTCTTTTTCCTCTTTAGTTACCAAACAATTTTTATTAGTACCCTACTTTCCTATGGGAAAGAAAGAAAGAAAGAAAGAAAGAAAGAAAGAAAGAAAGAAAGAA